CTTACTGTATACTGAAATGAGAAAGATCTTGTCAGTTTGTTAAGTGTTGGAGTGCTTAATCGGCTGTTTGCACTGTATGCTTCCCGGGAAGCTGAGAATGTTTGTTCTGAGTGTTATAGGGTCTGGTGGGGTAATGATTTTGTGTAAAGCGCATATAGAGCTTGCTGTCGAGCGGGGGTAGACCTATGTGCTATACAAATACTATTTATTACTATTATTATTATTAAATAATTCCTAGATTCCTAGCTAAAATCCTTTTTTTCCCGTTCTGCAGTTAACTGCCATGTGTATCTTTTATTGGTAGGTGGCAGAAAGTTATATTCAGTTGCTGTAGTCCAAATGTCATGCTTTTTGTGTAGCTTTGTAGAATGTATTCCATGACTGCAAATGTCAGCATGTCTTTGATCATCTTGAAAGTCATAAATTCCTAGCCAGCAGAAGACAATAGGCAATATTCTGTTTCATGTCAAAATGCATACTACTGAGACCCCAAACACCTGAACCTGAGAGCCTACATTTCTAGAATCATTTGGAAATTTTTTTTAACGGTTTATTCTAGGTGCAGACTGTCAGAAAAATATGTAAGAAGTTTAGAATGAGTAGGCTAAGTAAAAACAGACTATTTTTCAAAGGGAGGTTACTGTGTTCCAATGTACTTTTGGGGGGATTTTTTAGCAAACAATTTCTTTGAAATGTTGGTAAAAAGTGTCCAGTTTGGGGTAACTGGGGTTTTTTTTTGTAAGTCGTTTCTTTTTCTTATTGGAAGTAGTACCCCACCTTTTCAGGCTGATGTATGCCGCTTTTACAAGTCATTAGATTATGTTCTGTTTTAGGGAGGAATTGGGTTTGAATGTTATCTTTGACGTTCTACTGTTAAGGTGTCTAGGCATAGGCCTATGTAGAACATGTACATGGATTTGAGAGTTTTTTCTCTTCATCTAAAGTGACAGTCAGTCAGCCCCATCTCCTCTGGGAGTGGGATTGAGAGTTTGTAAAATCTGAGAAAAATCCTGAGGTATCCACCATTCATGACTGCAGGATACCAAGTTTGTATCAATGTCAAATAGCTGTTTTGATATTCGATAAGAAAGGTGAATAGCATATCTCAACCAAAGAGCCTCCTAAATAAAGTTCTATCACCTGGCATTCTTGAAGGCAGTCTTATAAAAATTCAGCAATTGTGTTATTTTGGAGTCCCAAACTAGTACTGTATATCCCCAAAATCTTATTTCATGATGACTTTTTAAAAACTTACACAGTTTATTTCTTTCTTTTTCATGCAATGAAACATGTTTTTCTCGTTTTTTGTTTTCTTTCAGTTAACGACATTGTCATGAACAAAGACACAGAAGGTCCAGTAATAAAGGACGTGGATGTGACAGACCCCTTTTCCATCTCTTTTTTTTTGAAAATACCATCAAATCTGGTTAACACATCTACTTCTTTCTCTTTCACGGCAAATCCTGATGCAGCATTTATCGGCTGTGAAAATCTGAAATTGTATTTGATCTCTGAACCTCATGGCCAGTTGAGGAGTAGAAGGTATGACACTTTTTTTTTTGCTTGAAAGTTGATTAAAGGCACAAAATATGTAATTTTTCAGTTTTAAAGGACTCTCAAGCTATTGAAGTTACCGAACTTTGGTGGCCATTTTCTTGTGAATTTTATCACTGAAACCATGCGACCCCACCTCATTCAATAGCGAATATCTTGACTTCTATTTAAGATAGATGGGTATTTTTTTCATTGACAGCAAGACAAATGAATATGCTTTCAGATGATACCATTAACTCCACATGTCCAAAAATTGACGGGCCCCTGATTCCAACGTGTCGTGACACAATTTATGATGTCTAACATTTTTAAGAAGTCGTGGAAAAGGATATAGAACTCATCCTATCTTACAGTGTCTCAGAAAATAATAGTGTCAATAGCTTAGATGACATGCATTTGATTCTTAGGGTTGTCTCTCTCTCTCTCTCTCTCTCTCTCTCTCTCTCTCTCTCTCTCTCTCTCTCTCTCTCTCTCTCTCTCTCTCTCTCTCTCTCTCTCTCTCTCTCTCTCTCTCTCTCTCTCTCTCTCTCTCTCTCTCTCTCTCTCTCTCTCTCTCTCTCTCTCTCTCTCTCTCTCTCTCTCTCTCTCAGCTGAATGGCATATTAGTCTGTTCAGATGAAGTCCATTCTAAAAAGATAATCTCATTCCTAAATTATATTGTTAGGCATATTAGTCTGTTCAGATGAAGTCCATTCTAAAAAGATAATCTCATTCCTAAATTATATTGTTAGGCATATTAGTCTGTTCAGATGAAGTCCATTCTAAAAAGATAATCTCATTCCTAAATTATGTTGTTATACGGACACGTCTGTCCCAGGGAAAAGGTATTCACTCGCATATGTAACTCTGTATCTACTGTAATGTGTACTATTTTATATGTATATATGTATGAAAAAGACAATGGTATTCACTTCTCAGAGTGAAACATGTCCCGATTTCTCTCGCTACCTCATTCATAGCACTGTGTGGAAGTTCTATTTCTGTTTGATCTTATAATAATAATAATAATAGATAGCATTTGTATAGCGCATATCCCCGCTCAACAGCAGGCTCTATGCGCTTTACACTATATTATTACCCCAGCAGACCATAGAGCACTCCGAAACATTCTCAGCTTCCCGGGAAGCATACAGTGCGAGCAGCCGATTAAGCGCTCAAACACTAACAAACTGACAAGATCTTTCGCTGTCTATAGCCGGGTACCCATTCCCACCTGGGTGAAGTGAGGAAAATAAGTGTAAAGTGCCTTTCCCAAGGACACAACGTCGGGCCCCTGATGGGATTCGAACCCACGACCTTACGGTTGCGAGTCCGACAGCCTAACCACTAGGCCACCGACGCCACTTATGAATGTATGTATGTATGTATGTTTGTATGTATGTATGTATATGTGTGAGTATGAGTGTGTATGTGCGTGCGTCACGTGCGTGCGTGCATGTGTGCGTGTGTGCGTGCGTGCATGCGTGTATGTGGGCGTGCATGTCCAATTTATGTTAAACATCCGATGTGCTGCACCAATGTATGTAATTGCCGAACCATATGTTAAAATATGTGGATGTATGGGCCAAAGGCCTTTCAAATCAATAAATCATTTTGAATCTTTGAATCTCTCTCTCTCTCTCTCTCTCTCTCTCTCTCTCTCTCTCTCTCTCTCTCTTCCCCCCTCCTTTATCTCTCTGTTTCTGTCTCTTTCTCTTTCAGTCTCTATCTCTTTCTGTTTCTTTCATTATCTCTCTCTTTGTCTCTCTTTCTCTGCCCCTCTCTGTTTATTTCTCTTTCTCTCTCTGATTTAAAATCATATACTCTGCCTTACACTCTGGGCTCTGGGATGATGTCCAGCTCAGTGTGTCTCAGGCCTCAAATGATAAGATAAGATAAGATACATCTTTATTGTCCAGGTCCTTGCACATTGGTTTGGTGTTTCACCACGGACACACACACACACAGAACATGCCCACACATGTATACCCAGGGGCATGTGCACACCCATATACACGCACACTCTCTCACACATCCTCTCCTCCACACACGCCTGTGCACATAACCATAGTAATACAACTGTATGCTTGCACTCACAAACAGGCTCACAGTCACATGCATAATGTAAATGAACAGTAATTGTAAACATTAAAGAATGTTACTTCTTGTTCCAGACTCCTTGAAAATACTTCCCACCAAGGGAACTGGCTTTTCTTTTTACTTTGTAGGAGCATGAACATATTTTTAGGCTTCAACAACCTTCTCCGATCTTCATAGTTCGATGAAGGAAGAATCAGATTTTTATTTTTTTAATATTTTTTTTTGGGGGGGGGGAGTTATTTTGCAGCTCTCTAATAAAAACGATTAGGAAGAGACTAATGAAGTTTCTGGGACTCTTTAATTGAAATAAAAGCCTTAAATATCATGCTCTCACTGAAAAAAATACTGGGCAAAAAAAGTAGGGGTAGATCAAGAACAGTCTTGTAGGAAAACCTTAACAGATTTGATGAGAATGCTAAATATACATGTATATATACGAATGACAAACCATGATGGCTGATATGTTTCAGCTCTGGCACTTTATAATGATGATGATCATTTGGCATATGGCCTTGATCTTGATGTATATATGTGCTATATCACCATCATTTCCAGGTAACAAGAAATGGAACATCTAATTTATAAAAATGTTCTGCATATGGCCTTGATTCTGATGTATATCATATATGCTTTATTACTGGGTTTTTTCCAGACAGTGGTATCATATTGGAATGAGACGAGTGGTTCATTTTCTTTTAGTAACCTCTCTGTACGTTGATGGTGTGTTGATCGAGACTGAGTATAGGTTATCTTCTTCTCCGTGCACCTCTATAGGGTTTACTCCAGGGAAGGACCTAGACTGTAAGTAGAAATTACATACCTGATGTTTTATCTTGTGTTTTCACTTTGGAAAGGGAAAAGGAGATGTTACCGTGCAGAGGCTTGTCGTGGTGGTGGTACATGTTTGTGAATGGTTGATGGGGTTTAATTTTAACTGGAATCTTGAAAAACTGTCGAATGGATGTGAGAGATTTCCTGGAAATACTATAATATTTCCTCTTATTTTGAAAAAAAAATGTGAGTGTTCTGTTCTATTGATTTGACAGGTTTGTATTGTGCTTTTTAGTGAATGATGTAATTGTATCTGTGTGGGACTGGTTTGCTTTATCATCGTGGACAAAACTCTTTTTTACAATTTAACCCAAAAAAACTTTGTTCTTTTTAATTTTGTGTTCCCTGTAAGTTTTTTTTCAATCACCTCAGAATAGAATGTGTACCTTTTTCAGATGTTGTGGTCAGTGAAATTCAGGGAGTAAAAGAGGCTTTGACAGGTACACAAGTCGCCTCTTTAGCCAGCTCATGTGGTCAATTACTGGCAAACAACTTTCTCACTGAGAACAATATAGTTACTGAACTTTCAACACTCAGCACTTGTGATGGTAAGGAAAAAAGAATGTCCCATGACACTTTCATAAATTATATTTTTTGGACATTTCTTTGTATATCTTCTTTTTATATACAGGCCTATAATGTGTGTGTGTGTGAATGTGTGCACGTGTGTGTGTGTGTTAACATAAAATATCTTGAGGCTTGAGGAGCCTGTTAGGTACCGTATATCTCTCACTTATTCATTCATCAGTATCCTGTATAGTTTTTACTGTGCTTCTTCCCTCCTGTCCTGTTTTCTCTTTTTAACTCACTTGAGCCTATTCCCGTGTATTTACGGGACGCCCCACCTGCTTGGCAGCCTAATCCCGTATTTATGGCTTTATCGATCGATATCTCTGGTGTTTTTCAGTTACTACAAGTTGTGGGAAGCGGCGAGCCAAAAGTTGAACCGCTTGTTTGTTGTTGTTTTTTAATTTGGTGAAGTTATGTGTAATAGTTTTTTAGCGGTAATGGACTAAGTTAGTCACCCTGCATTGCGATAGATGATTTTATTATTAACTCTTTGCCAAAAAATTGTGTAACCCCCAGACATTGCCATTTCAAAATATTGATAAAATAAAAATTATTCAAACAAATTAGATGCAGTTTTCTTTTTCTTTGAGAACATTTCTTTCCTTTTCTTATCGAAGTAAAAATATTATGATAGCTTTCACAGTTTTTTTGTGGTTAACGCTTCAATATATCCCCAAAGTGTCAGGCTGCAATAGTTGTTGGGTGAAAAATAGCTCAGGCTCAAGTGAGTTAATGCTTTCCTCCGATGTGCCATAGTAAGCAATCCAAGGGATTGAAAAGTCCTCAATATTTATAATTAAGGGCCAGGGACTAACTGGTTACTGCAGAAATAACACAGAAACAGAAAAGATCTAACAGTGAAACCCTTCAACTGCCAACTTTGAATTTGCATCAAGTATGGTCCATAGTTGGTACAAAATAAACCAAACATGAGTAGTGAATTATTTTGTAAAACTGTAGAAAATAAGAGAGCGAGAGCTATGCTTTGGCCGTACTGGTAATTAAGTTTGGTCACTGATTGTGTTGCAGCTGTGGACGACTGTGCCAACAACAGCTTTTGTGGAGATTATGGGATTTGCATTGATCAGGACAATGGCTATCGTTGTGTTTGTGATGACCTGTGGTCAGGAGAACATTGTGAGGCAAGTTGTCAGTTTCTATTCTATCTTGTTTCTTGCTTGTGCTATAGTTTAGTGGTAGGTGGTTGGCATGTGCTTTGGTGTAATTTACTTTTTCTTTCCTATCAAGCGAGTGAGTTCAGACTCAAAAGTAATGTCAAGCAAGCATCGGTGAGACAGGGTTCAGGTGGATGGTCACTGGGGTGTGTCCTTAAGCAAGACACAACAACCCTAGCTAAAAAAACAGGGCACTGTCAAGTGGCGACCAGCGATGGCATGTTTTTACAATTGTTCCATATTGTATATTTATGTATGTATTCTGACGGTCTTTAAAAACGCACCTCTTACAAGACAATTCGAATAATGGTGGTGTGTTTATTTTTTTTTAACAGCTTATATACCATTGCATTCTATTCTAATTTTGTGAATATTCACAGCTGAAATGAAATGAAAAGGTCAAATGGCACAGAGAGCACAAAAGCATTTTTCTAAAATCAGAGCGGTAAATTGAGTTTTTAACTCTTGCCTTAGTATCGTGTATGTCCTCCATAGGCCTGAATACAGGATTGGCAGCGTCTTCTCATGGAACTGATAAGAGTCTGAAAGAACACCTGTGGAATCTGTATGCGCCCTTTTGTCAAAGAACGCCTCAGCTCTTGGAGATTGTTTAGAGGTCTTCCACGAGACTAACGGCGGCCAAGCTCGTCCCACATATGCTCAATTGGTGCCATGTCAGGAGACAGTGATGGCCAAGGCAGGACATCAATGCTGTTTGCCTGCAGAAAAGCAGTGGTGGCTCGAGCGTTGTGCGGGCGGGCGTGGTCTTGTTGGAATAACTGCCGCTCTGGGCAATGACCTAATAACGGCACGACGTGGTTCTGCAGAACCTGCTGGTACGTGTTGGAATTCACAGGCTGGTCGAAGAAGTACAGTGGTGCATGATAATCATAGCTGCACGCTCCCCATACCATGACCCTGTCTCTTCCCCATCTATCGACCTCCAGCATGCAACAGTTGGCGTAGCGATCGCCGGGACGTCTCTAGACCCTTCTTTTCCTGTCAGCATGCGAAAGGGCAAACCGACTCTCGTCAGAAAAGACTAGTCCTCCACTGGGGTCGTGTCAACTGTAAATGCTACCTGGCCCACTGCAAACGTTGTTGACGGTGCCTCTGAGTCAGGACAGGACCAGCGTACAGGTGTCTGGCTGCAAGTCCTGCTTCCCGCAAACGGCGTTGCACGGTCCATTCAGATACTGGTCCACGCCGACCAACCACTTGACGACCTGTTTCTGGTGCTGGCAGGAAACGGTCACGAAGGTGACATTGGCAAATGTAACGGTCTTGTGCTGGTGTTGTGACTCGGGGTTGGCCGCTCCGACGCCGATCTGCTGTAGATCCAGTTGCATTTCCTTGAGACAACCGGATAACAATCGAGTGGCTACAGTTCATGCGCCTGGCAACTTGCCGTGCTGCCATTTCGGCTTGGAGCATTCCGATGGCCCTGTCATGTTCTAGCTTCGAAAGTGGCGGTATTATTTACGCGGAAAAAATCTGTTGCACAGATTAAAGAACGTCAGTTTTTGTTATTGGCGAATATAATCTCTCCCTAACAACCAAAAAAATCTGTCTCGCTAAACAAAAGTTTAGGTTTGAGGTCAATACATCGTATTTTTGGGTGTTGCTCGTGCGCATTGGCAGTTTTGAAGTGGGAGCTTCTAATTTTGTGTGATCGGTAACCACTGTTGCCTGTGAGCCTTTGTCAATCTCAATTGATGTCACTGGATAAATTTTGGTGCACAATGTGCTCAATCCAAAATGGTGCGTTTTTATAATGACCGTCAGTATATTTATGTACATATGTCTTTATAATTTTGAATTTGTAAATGTGTTTTTGCCATTGTAAGCCAAATGTCCATAAGGGGATCAATAAAATGCAATTAATTATCCTGCCCACTTGTGAATATCACAGTATATCCTTTCCATCTGCATTCATGACCCACACTGGGGTTGGGGCCGTAATGTGAATGCAGGTCCTGTAGCCCTTTTGTGTGATTGGAGTCAGTGTACATGTAAACATTTTTGAGTTAACTGTCTCAGCATTTCAGTTTTTCAGACTTAACTTGCTGTATAGAATGCTCATAACAGTGGCGCTGTGAAGATTGATACTCTCTAAAACTGATTCCTACCGAAACTTGTGAAGTCAGTTTTGTGTCAGCCACCCTCTAACAGGCATGTCTACCTAAGTAAGCAATAGCAGCTTGGGCAATATTAACATTCCTTTTACAAGACATAAACCTGAGTATTGCAAAACTATGCATTGGCCATATATCTGCCGTTGATTAGGTTGTTTTATGAGGAAAATAAACTTTTTCTGTTTCAGTTTGCTCCTGATTTTTGTGAGGAACACAATTGTGCGAATGGAGCACAGTGTGTAAACCACTTCGACTTAAGAAACTACACATGTACCTGTGTCGGAGAATTTAGGGGACGCCTTTGTGCAGAAGCAATCGGTGAGTGTTTGTACTTTGTTATGTCATGTAAAGATGTGTTTGAAGCAGCAAGTGAAGTCTTTTTAAAGTGAACATTCCTTTGCCTGCAACCCCTCTTAATGAATTGTTCTGCTAACTCTAATCTTGCTTTTTTTAAAGTTTATTCTAAAAGTAGACTTTATTTAACAAGAACGTTATATGTTTTGCAGAGTTTATACTAAAATAAACAATGTCTGGTTCCTCTCAGGTTCATGAATGAAACTAGAAGTCAATACCACATTTGTGTCATGACGCTATGGAATCGGTTGCTTGTCAATTTCTTTGGCATAGGGAGTTATTGGTATTATCTTAAGGCTGTTTCATTTGCCTTGCCTTCAATGGAAAAAATACCCATCTTTCTTGAAAAAAAGTCAAGGTATTTACAATTGAAGGAGGTGGGGGAAGTCTGGCTTCAGAGGTAAAATTTGCGAGAAAATGACTGAGAAAGTTTGTTGACTTCCAAAGCTTGAAAGTCCTTGAAAATTGAATTTACATTTTTTTTTTGTGCCTTAATTCAATATTTTTCAGAAAAATCCATCCAGAAATGTGTTTTTAAATGGACGTAAAAGGTGTTGAGCCAAAAACAAAATTCAATAAAAATTGCTTAATCAGAAGAAAAATGTCGGGGTCTTCGATTTCATTCCTTTGACATGCATCTGATTTCAACACAATGCCCCACATTTGTAAAATTATGGTAATAAAATGATCATTATACATTTATTTCATCAAATATAATATAGTAATGACTTTATGGTAACCAAGATGGATGATTGTTATTAAATGACATTAAAAACATTCGACTTTATAAAATTGTTTAATATCTGGATCAGTGGAAATAAGGAAAAGTCACCACATATGCCTTACGTATCTTGTGTGTTCTGATGTACAAATGAGGTCTCTGAGGGTATGAATGCATTAGGAGCTCGATATCTGAAAGAGAAACGTGTTTTATTAACTCTTTATCTCCGAGGGCGGTAAAACCACTTCGTCAGGGTCCTCTTAAATCTAAAAATGACAAAAACGTGAAATGAGTCATCGAATCAAAACAAGTGAATCTATTTTGATAGTTCTTCGTCTAATGAGTGAACTATGTTGGAGTCATCTTAAAGGAATGTGTCTGTTACTGCAGTACAACTCCCTTTGAGAGTAACTAGAACAAGAAATATTTTTCTAGAATTATTGGGTTCACTCTGAATTTGAGGGATACATGATTTTCCTTGACACTTGTTTATTAAGAACAAGGGTTAACGTAAAAGATACATGTGAAAGTGAGACAAGGGTAGGCATTTGGAGTTTTATTATGATTGAGTTACAAATTTTCATCACTAAGATTAAATAAAAAAATTATCGTCCAACCTCCCCTCCTCCCCTTATGACTTCAGTCCATGGTAACTACAGTCAGTGGACATTGTTTGAGGAATGCTCTGAGACTTGTGGCGGTGGCACCCGCAAACGCTACCGTCAGTGTGACTCTCCTGCCCCAGGGCCAGATGGGAACCCGTGTCAAGGACCAGATGAGGAGACAGAAGTCTGCAACATACACAACTGTCCCAGTAAGTTGACGCTACATACACAACTGTCCCAGTAAGTTGACGCTACATACACAACTATCCCAGTAAGTTGACGCTACATACACAACTGTCCCAGTAAGTTGACGCTACATACACAACTGTCCCAGTAAGTTGACGCTACATACACAACTGTCCCAGTAAGTTGACGCTACATACACAACTGTCCCAGTAAGTTGACGCTACATACACAACTGTCCCAATAAGTTGACGCTACATACACAACTGTCCCAGTAAGTTGACGCTACATACACAACTGTCCCAATAAGTTGACGCTACACACACAACTGTCCCAGTAAGTTGATGCTAATGTCATGAATTGTATATGTTCCGCTTTCTTCTCATTTTTGTTGAATCTTTGGAAAATTATTAAATAAAAGGGATTGACATTAAAAACCCTTATGTTTCAGGTTTTCCTTTTCATTGTCCATAATGTTCATCTGGCCAGACTACTTCACCCACCATTTTTACCAAAAGATTTCAACAGGAAATTTCAAGTGTCCATATGTAGGCCTAGTGAAACATTTCCTTGAATAAAGCAAAATGAAAATTGTATCACCCAAAATTCTTATTTCAAGAATCTTTTTTTTTCACATTTGGTATGAACGCTGCATAGCATTTTGTCCTCATATTTAATTTATACCCTTCCCAGGTCTCTCAGTCCTAGAGCAGTGTGCCCAGGATGCATGCACTTGGTACACTTTCATCTTGATCTTAGTGTTGAGATTTCCTGTACTCCAAGCTTTGTTTGATAGCTAGCTCATGGTGGTTGATGCTTTTCCAGTTCCTGTAGGGCCTTCTTAACTCTTCATCAAGTGCCTGTTTTCTGTTGATTGTAGACCCCAAATATGTTAGTGGTCTTCATCTACAATCTTTTGACTTTCGTTTTTGATTTTTGTTGAAACTGTAACTTCCCCTTGGCAGAAAACGTCTTCTTTCTGATGGATGGCCAAAATTTTTTGTATGGAGCTGAAAGAGGCATCTGTGAACTTTAGTAGTTCTTCCTTGCCACTCCTGCACCAACCACTAAAAGTAGTTCTCTAATGAGAAATGACTTGATCTTTGTCTTAACCTTCTGCCTTTGGGATTATAGCGTCATCCTTTGAAGTGAATGTTGATACAATTAGATTACAACATTTTTCACAGCACCCATCTGCCTGAAACCATTGGCACACATATAAGAGTTTGTTGGGATTGATAAATGTCACCCCATAATTGGCATTGGCAGATGCAGGTCTTACTAATTACTGCCCAGAGCTGACCAGATGTAGTTATGACACTTTCTACCTTTCACTGCGGAATCAGTTGCTCGTCAATTATTGGGTATATAGGGTTATTGGTATAAAATTAAAGCCTGATCATTTGCCTTGCTTTCAATGGAAAAAATGCCCATCTAACTTTCATAGAAGTTGAGATATTTCCAATTGAAGAAGGTCGGGGTACCGCTGATTTTAGAGGTGAACTTAGCGAGAACATTGAACAAAACCATAATCAAATGCACGCTCATTTTGGCAGTTCACTTGACTTTGTTGGTTTCAGTGTGGACTAATTTGTAATGCTTTACTCCTCTTTTACTCAGTTCATGGCAATGTAAGCAACTGGTCATCATGGGTCTGTCCTGCCACTTGTGGGAATGCCACAGCTGTCCGGAGTAGGACATGTGACAATTCTGTTCCCCAGTATGGTGGCAGAAATTGCACTGTTTCACTCATTGAATTCAAGACCTGTGACGGACTGTCGCCTTGCCCTGGTGAGCTATCAAGAAATTCTCTTGACTAGATGAAACTCTGTTACTGAAACATTAGTAGTGCTTCTCTATTAAGAAATGTGTTCAGATTCCAGATTGTAAACATCTAGTCATTGATGTGTCAGAGAATGTCACCACAGTAGATACATGTGAATTTCTAACCCTATTTGAAAAGGAAGGCATAACATTTTCTATTGCTGTCCTAGTAACTGGAAAGTTTCCCTTGCAACTTATTCTGTGTAGACCTTTGTTTAACTCTTTATCTGCGGCGAACCGCTCCCAGCGGCTCGCAGTCGGAATTGCTGTGCCGGTGAGCCGCTAACAACGGCTCGGGCACTTTCCTTTACGACGACTTCAACATCAAGTTACTTTTCAGCAGTGTTGCCATTCTTATTTTTTTACCACTAAATTTAGTGTTTTTTGGGTTGATTTAGTTTTTTAATGTTTTGGGGGCACATTTAGTAGTTTTTGTTTTGATTTGTTTTACTTCCAACAATCATATAAA